AATAGCGGCCACCGCTGTGGTTACCTGTTACTCTCACGGATGTCGAGAGAATGTTATGGATAACAGTCGTCAGATCTCGTCCGGGGCGGTCCTCGCCGCGCTTGCAGATGTCCATGAGGGCGTCCCTCAAGTCAGCAACTTGGGTATAGCAATTGCCCCAATACACGTCTGACGTCAAATTGTTGGAGATCCCATCCAGCTTCTCCCGTACCGCTCGGCAGCACGAGTCGTAGTAGTCCAGGAAGCGATGGTAAGCCAGAGCCGGTGCGTCTTCCATGACGGGGTCGTATGCGTTCACGTCCACTTGCTTTGACGCGAGGCGAGCCGCTTCTCTCGCTCGCTCGTCCAGCCTGCACTAAACTGCGATGAAGTACGCCTCGAGCGGTCGGAGCTCCGCCGCCTTGTTCCATGCCTCCAGCACGTCGCGTGAGACGCGCGCCATCTCGTACTTTTTGGACGCGATCAGGAGCTGGGCGAGAAGATGGAAGCTCAAAGGGAGGTCGTACCCCCATCCATAGCAAGCGTGCAGCAGGGCGGACAAGGTGTCAGGAGACTCCTCGAAGCACAATTCCGCGGCTTGGCCTTTCGGGGTCGTGGCTCTGGTCTCCGCCAGGCGGCGCTTCAGTACCGGGGAGTGGATAGCAAGGACGACTTCATGGGCGGAGAACGTCCTGGCCGAGCCTTCCTGTTTTACTGACCGGCAGATGATGTCGGTAGAGGGCATGCTGGTCTCGAACCACGGGAGGGATGGTTGCGGAGTGATCGGCGGCATTCCTGACGGAGGGCTCAAGAGGCGCGCGTTCTCCGCTTGGTCGCCCCGTAGGAACTGCTTCAAGCGGAAGTAATCCGCAGCGGATATGCCGTCCATGTCCCCGAGTTCCTCCGTGATGGAGAGCGCCTCGGGGTGGACGATAGGTCCGTCACGAGCGACGTTCTGTTGCTTTGCAGCGTCGGATGCCTCGAGTGCCTCCGCAGCCTGCCGGGCGACGTCCTCAAGGCCTGCGCGGCACGCGGCGGCCCAAGCCTGCAGGGGCGAGCGCGGTATGACGGTAACGAGCCGCTCGGACATGATTTGCACGGGCCACTCCATGTCGTACTTCGTCGCAGCCTTCAGCACGGGCACCATGCGCCGCGGGTCCTCCATCTTCGGCTTCGCGATCGGGTAGAGGAGACGCAAGAGGAGCTCGAGCGTCTCGCTGTCCTCGGACACGTCGACGACGGGGGTGGTCGTCTCGGATGACAAGTCGCTCGCGCTGTTCGGCGGAGGCTGGGGAAGCGCGAGCATGTCGGCGAAGAAGGGCGACGCTTGGGCGAGGATTGGGGAGTGGACGTGGAAGTCGACGCGGTCGCAGGTGCGCAGGATGATGTCCGCCGAGGCCTGGTTAAAGGGATGGGGTGCCTTGGGGCACGCCTGCGGCGTATCGGGCGGTGAGCCTTGGAGGTGCGCCATTCGGATGGAGTCTGAAGCTGGTGGGGACGTGTCAGGAAGGGGGCGTTGGGAGCTAGGAGACGCAAGAGCGAGGCTCGACGGTGATGTATGGGACCTGCGCGTCTTATATCGTGCCCGCCTCGAGGATGAATGTGTGCTGCGGCAGGTCATGTGCTCGTTCGAACGCAGCAACTTGCAGGGGCAAGTTCGACTGTTGGAAGTACTAGAGAAATAAAGAGGGCTCCTCGATGGCCGGCAACTGTCGCATTCCGACGGTCTTCGCGGGTCCCGCGGGCTCAAGCATGAGTTCGGAGGTGCACGCAGAAAGCTCACCGGTTCATGGTGCCACTGGACCGCGACATTCGTCGAAGGGCAGTCGGTATGTATTGTGCATACTGTATACGACAGCTCAAAGACATCAGACGTCTCGATCTCTGGCCCCCGGTCATACTATGGCCATGAGTTCGACGCTGTCGAGTATACCTCAGCTTGAGCTAATATCGTCCCAAGGCTTAAATTCCACGTACCGTACGAAAGCTAGCTCTGGCCTAGGAAATCCCGGTGACCGCCTTGCTCGCTGGATCCTATCTCCAGTTCGACCTGCCAAGAACGAGTTAGGGCACAGCGAAGTTGGTACAGCAAGGGAATTCATGTACTCACTTCGTCCATCGCCTCAGTGATTCTTCGCGGTAAGTTCTCGCCGATGTTGAGGACTTCGCGAAGGACAGCCTTAGCCTTGGGACACAAGGGAGATTCCAACGAGGCTCTTGTGAATAACCCGGCAATGCCTATGCGCGCAGCCAATCCGTCTCCCAGGCCGGAGTTTCGTACATCCCTTTTGACCTGGGCTAGGTGGCGCAGCAACCAGGTCTGATCTGCTATGTAAAAATGCTGGCCTTCCGACCCGCAGGTTACTCCACCAAACGCGTCGCTGCGCCGCCAGCGCAGCCCAGCATTGAAGAACTGCACCGATACAATCTCCTCGCATGAGCGTATGTAGGTGATCAGTCTATGGTATGTTCGCGCAGCCGCGATCTCCATTGATGGAGCGTAAATGCCTATCAAATCACCTCGAGAGCGCAACTGTTTGACCGCACTGCGTGCACGGTGGATGAGACTGTGCTGAATTGCGACGAAATAGGCGTCTAGCGGGCTGTCCTGAGCCTGCTGGTCCCAGAACCGTTCGGCCATGCCCTCCGCGGCCTTCATCTCGAATGTCTGACACAGGGGGAGCACCGTGGCAAGGACGGGAAGGGATGGAGGAGACGTCTCTCCGTAGCAAATTGCGAGTAGTGCCGAGAGGGTCCGGGAATCGGTTGCAAAGGAGAGGGCTGATGAGTGGAGGGCAGGTGGAGCATCTTGAACGCACATCTCATGAGGTTGCCCAAGGTCGTCAGCAGGGGTGGAGAGGAGGGAGATAGCTGGACGAAGAAGCGAAGATAAACAGCTAGGCGTGCACAGATACTCACCTACAACCTACGTCCCTGAAGCGACGCGTCGTGACAAAGCCATCGACCAAACCCGCGCCAGGAAACGGCTCGCCTACGCGCGACCGTGAGAGCACCTTGGAACGAGGGACACGTCTGATCTACAAACCTGGATTCGACAATCTTTGGCCCCAACTAGAACAAAAGAGAGAACGGGATGGTTCGGTAGATGGCACCATGTCCTGCTCGTCTCCGACGTGTTTGTTAGGTGTAGACAGCACTGGGCGCAAGGCGCGGTTCCGGCGGCGAGTTCTGTACTTATGACATCCGTCACGGCGCTCTAATGACAACGTATATTATGAGCAACGAAAGCTAAGGGCCCTGAGGTGTCGCTACGTACCTCCACTCAGTTTTAATTATTTGCTTATCGGTTACATCGGCGACTATGAGCAAGCAATTGTCAGTACTAGCTCCCTCAGGAGAGAACAATGCACTTGCTATTTACACGCCAAAACGGCAAGAGGGTGTCGCGCCCATGTGACATGCACACTTTGCCTGCACTCGCCGAAGTGGCATAGCTGCACGAGACGCGATATTTAACGGCGCCTGAGGTTCAACTTGCTCCTGAACTGCGACCACGCTCACACTTCCCTCCCCTCTTGCAGAGACATCACACCGTCCTCCTGCCACTTGCGTATCAGTGCCGACACTTCAGACCACATCACGAGCAACACATACCATCGCTGTTTCTCGAACTTCACAACCACTCCAGCCACAATGAACGCGACGACTACCCACCTGTCCACCACCACGATTACGAGCCTCATGGACATGGCGTCACCGAGGCCGCGGAGGGCCTACCATTTCTTTAGATGCGTACTCGACGCAACGACGGACGAGTTGGCAACTGGGCACAGCTATGGAAGTCCTTCGGTGAGTGGCTAGCGGTCCGTTCGTTCCGGAACTGGACACTCACAATGCTGCTGCAAGGTACTGGAAGGTAGGCGGCTCGAGGGTGCAGGAGATAATTGCATATCACCGCAACCTCCGCTGGGAATACGAGTGGTCCCAATACCAAGATGCCCTCTTTCAGAACCCGCGAAGTACCCAAGCGTGCCCATGGCCACCGTTCAAGGAGCCACCAGCATCCGTCTGCGAGCCACGCGAAGAGACGAGAGCGACGTCCGACGGTGCGGGAGCGGACCCGCACCAAAGACCCTCGCCCGCCGGCGAGCACGAGGGAAGTCGAGGACAGGATGCAGCTGGCCAGAACATCTTCGCGGCAGAGGGAGCAACCCCAGAGCCAAGGAGCCCCGCGCCCGACCTCCTCCTGACGCCGCCGGGTTTGGCAGTCGACGAGGAGACGCGCCTAGCGCGTATCCTCGATATGTTCCTGCGGCGCGGCGAATGGGAAGATATTCCCGATGAGTCCGACTCGCCTCGCGACGCGGCAGCTACAGGACATGAGGTCGAACGAGCCTTGGGGGACTTGATGAGGTACATCGAGCTGGGATAGTAGCGGTGGTCGGTTCAGCAGGCGGGTGCAGGGCGGTGGTCGGATCGAGCAGAAGGTACGTCTTCATGGTCGACCGGACAAATAGAATCTGACGGCGGCTTATATGCACTAACAGGGGTGATCGCAAGTGGGTAACCTACTGCAACACCATTGACCCCGAGTCGGCATTAGCGTCGCGCTGGTCAAAGCGTTTCTTTGGCTTTCCATGGCCTGAATGGCGGATAAAGTGATGCGTGGACAATGCTCTTCTGTACTATATCTCTGAATTAGCATCCACTACTGCTTGTCGTCTATGTCCTCATCCAAGATGTTTGCCATACCTTTCCACATCGAGGTTGCGGTGAGCACGCGCGCGACGCGACGAATCACAGATACTGAGATAGTCCCGTGAGATGGAGTCTTCTTATATTGGATTAACGTACTTTGATCACTTTCAAAGCCAATCCATCAGAGACTGCATGCCGTCACGGATGGATTTGGAGGAATTACAAGCAATCGAAACCATGCATAGCACATATCGGCTGCCATGCACAGTGGGTGCACGGTACCTCTGACCTCAGGCGGCTCGGGAGATGGTGTGTGGCACGCTGTCAAGATACAAGTATGCTGTGTGCTGCTCCACAGCCACGGCCCAATGGTCTAGTAGTATGATTCGCGCTTCGGGCTAAGCAAAGCAAGCTGCGCGAGGTCCCGGGTTCAATTCCCGGTTGGGCCCTTTTTGCGCTCTTTCTCATGCTCCCCCATAATGGCTCGCGGGTGACGTCACCTGGCTCTGCCCCGCTGGGAGAATGATCGTGCAGCCACCGACGCACCAGCTGCCCGCCCTCATAAACTCTTTCGACCGTCAACGACCTCGTCTTGCTCCTCTTCTCTTTTGTGTCTGTTCTTGCTACTGTATAACAACACATAGACGTTGAGAGCCGTATCAAACAAGCCATGCCCGTCCCAAAGCACATTTTGAACCAGATCAAGGCCATCATCCCTCCGCTGAACGGCTCCTTGCACAAGGGCCAATCAGGTCGTGTTGGTGTGCTGGGAGGCGCGCTCGAGTGAGTGCAGAGCGGACCTTCTGAAGCCAGTATGCAGCTCACCCCCACCCAGCTATACTGGTGCGCCTTTCTTCGCGTCAATCTCCGCGCTGCGGATAGTGAGTGCTTCAGGAATCTGTCAACACACGACTTGCGCTCACCGTCAGCCGGCCATACTCAATAGGGCGCGGACCTCTCTCATGTCATATGCTCGCCTACTGCGGCTGGCGCCATCAAGTCATACTCTCCAGATCTGATCGTCCACCCCATCCTCCGCGAAGACCAGTGAGCACACTGCACTCGCCCGCAGGATGTGAGGGTTGCTCACAACTGCACTAGAACTGCAGACCAAGTCAGGCCGACGCTCGACTCCCTACTCTCACGTCTCCATGTTCTTATCGTTGGCCCTGGCCTGGGACGCGAAGACTACATGATCAACTACGCAAAGCTCGCTGTGAATATCGCCAAGGAGCAAGGCATGTACCTGGTCCTCGATGCGGACGCCCTCTGGATGGTCGGCCAGGATCTCGCGCTCATCCGGGGTTACCGCCGTGCGGTCCTCACGCCGAACGTTATGGAGTTCAAGCGGCTGAGTGAGAATGTCGTACGTATCCTTCCCCAACAGTACAACAGCGTTTTCGGGGCTCACGGATTGATGTATAGAACATTGACCCGAACATCCCGCCTGAGGAGCGTGCTATGCACGTGTCGCGCGCGCTTGGAGGCGTCACTGTCCTGCAAAAGGGCGGCAGCGACATCATTTGTACGAACACTGGGGAGGCTAGCAAGGAGCAGGCTGAACTGAACAAGGCATGCGTGCACACGCTATATTCGCGAATCGAACGTTGGAGATTGACCGCTCTGCCGCAGATTTCAGAAGGCGAGAAAACGGAAGAACGCGTCGTTGTCGACATTCCTGGCGGCCTCAAGCGTTGCGGCGGCCAGGGCGACATTCTGAGCGGTACTGTCGGCACGATCATGGCTTGGGGCAAGTGCTTCGAAAGCGGCGGATATGGGTGAGCCTATCACCGACTATCGTGCACTGTGATTGGCGACTTACATTGACATGTAGGGACGGATCCATCCCGCCTTCCCGTATCCCGCTCCTTGCGGCTGTGGGCGGCTCAATGGTCACTCGCACGACGTCGCGGCGTGCGTTCAGCAAGCATGGCAGAGGTTCGTGCTATACCTCTTGTTGGGGGCTACAAAGCATAGGCTGACCGATATCACAGGCGTCGTCACAGAAGACATGATTCCAGAGATTGGCGGCGCGTTCGCAGAGATTTTCGGCGAAGGCGAGAAGGGCTGGGGTGCGTCGACGAGCGAGGGCAAGTTGTGAAGAATAGCGGGCTTGGAGAGATACGTCGATGCTACTAATCCTTGTATAACGTGTGTAACGTTGGCTGCAAAACAATCTGTACAACAAGCATCCTATTCCCAGTGTGGTCGCGGCGCAACCGTGACCGCTGTTCAACTTGAAGCAAGATCAGTTATTCATTACAGGGAGGATGGAAGGCTCGCGTAGAGTACATCAGTAATTCGCCGAAGCTTTCAAGCTAATGATGGGGCTGTACAACAGGTCGCATTCCGAGCTGAACGAGGACCGAGGCAGCGAAGAACATTCAGAGGAGGGGCTCAGCCGCGGCCGCCTCCCTGGCGAAGCGCTTCAACAACTGGTCCGAAAGAGCATGTCACACGTGACGCGTATGTCACGGAAGGTGATGGCGCGTCGCGTCGCGAATCTGAGATCGTGTTCTGTCGCGTTCAGCCACCGGCCGAGCCTGTGCTCTCGGCTGCCTTAATGCTATAGCATACAGTCCTTGGACCTGGACTGCCTCGGCAAGTGTCCACAATGGCACATCTGTCCAATGCGGGCAATGAGTTGGAAGAGCCCTGGGCATCCTCCGGTTCGTGCTTTCATCGTTACTCAGTCAATGATCGCTGCATCTTTACTTTCGTCGTACTACGAGTCTTCTCCAAAAGAGGAGGAGGACGAGTCTGAGGAGTAGGAGGGCATCGCCAGGTGAGCCTCGGTCCCGCTCTTCAAGGCACGCGCCAGTCTGATGATATACCAACAACGCGGAAGACGACGTGCCAGTGGGCCTGTGCTCTCGCAGCAAGTACGCGCCCTCGTAGGAGAGGGCAACCAAGGGTATGTCGACGCCAACATCCCTTGAGACCATTTGTATCATGCAGGAAGTGATACAGGTTGAGCCCCGTGCTGCTGAGGCGTGGAGCGTTCTTGCCCAATGCTACGACGACATGGGTGAACGCGGCAAGGCTCTCCAGTTTAGCATCATCGCGGTCCACTTGAATAAGAACGCGGACGAGCGGGGGGAGTTCACCGACCAGCTCTGCGCACTGCGCTTGTGTTACGAAGCGATGCGCAGGGCGCTAGGGTACCATCAGCAGCATTGTATTGCTACCTGTACGGCAAGATGTATCATCTAGACCCGACAAACGTGAACGCGCTCTGGGACCGCGCCTCCCTAGCCAGGAAGATTGGCGACCTAAACACTGTGAGTCCAAGCGACAGTTCCTGTCGCCCCCCAACCTAACTCCAGATGTCCTCTAAGCGCATTCGACAACCGTCGTCATGCTCAAACGGCTCCCTCACCACGTCCCCGTGCGCGACGAGCTCCGCCCCAATCTCACCGAGCTCTCCGACTTCGTACTCTGTGCCGAGCTCTTCCAGCGCGCCTTCGACCACTACCACGCCGCCTTCCCTCCCGGACACGGCGTGGACCCCGAGACGGGCGCAGAGGTGCCCGGGGGCGGGTTCGGGCTCATGCACCTGCTGGTGCTTGCGGACCTGTACAATACACTGGGCGAGTACGCCAAAGCAATTGATACGATCCGCAAGGGGTGTCGGTGGCAGCAGAGGCGCGCGGTGTAGAGGTTTTGGGACGCGTGCGTCCCTTACCTATGTCAGTATGGCAGGCGCGACGCCGCTCGCGCAAGCACTCTACCGCAGGTGGCTATCTCTGTAACAGTACGTGCAGGTCTGTACGCTGGTTGTATCGGGATATCGATCTGCCAAGTCTTCGTACGTGCGTAGGGTGAGTCATCCGGCCTGTATCCATCCATGCCGGCAGCCAGCTCAGCGCGACACCTGCGACCTCGTGCATGGCGGGACTCCAGTCTTCCGCTCGTCCTGCATCAGCTATGCCGATTTCGCTCCCGAGGCCATCCTGCCCTACTACGTAGTCAATAGTACCCCGCCGTTGCCAGTGCCATAGGCGTGCGTCAACGGCCTTCGTTTGTACTTAGCATGTACTGCTGCCATTGAATCACAATGACCATGATCTTATTTGTTACGGTACTACTCGAATGCTCAATATATATATGAGGGAGGACTGGGGCTCAATGTGCAGCTCGTGCCTGCGGCGGCGGGTGCTGCACTGGGATTGCTCCCGGCCACGAATGCCATTTTTGTGGCTAGTTTTTCTTTCGGTTTCCATGAGGTCGAACCTTGGCAAATCAATGGTCAGGTCATTGGAATCCAGGTGTTTTCCGGACAGGTGGATTCCAAGTGATCTCGCGCTGGATGCCAGTGATCATATTTCCATCTGAATTCCACGCGCGGACTGTCCGGCGGTGTACCAGCTGCCATGAGCGCAGCACCAATCGGACAAGGCGCGCGCTGCAGCAGAGAGAAAATGACTGCTATGATTGTACATACTCAGGCACACTCGCGTCGTACGTAGCCTATACACTTTGGCGGAAGGCAGAGCTTCCTCCGTCGCTCTTTATCAACCATGCCATGAATCCCATCACGCGTCCTTCGCGTAGCGCACGGAACGTCCCTTGAGGGAAGCCTAGCGAGTATGTGTAAGCACACACCTCTTTGCCGCACGCTCAATCGCAATGAGGAGACGTACCTTCCGCGCTTGCGCCGCCTGAGCGAACTCCTGCTCGAGTTCCTGAAGCTCCTTCAAGAGCTCCGCGTTGATCTGGGCCTTAGTGGGCTTCTGCTGGGAGTTGCCAGAGGTGGGCGCGGCTGATGCAGATGCAGATGCGGATGCGGACGCCGCCGACGCCGACGCCGACGTCGACACTGACGCCGACGCAGCGGCGACGACCTTAGACTTGGCCTTGGTCTTGGTCTGCTTGGCGGCAGCAGAACTCGTGGAAGCCGCGGCGACCGTAGAGGATGCCGCGGTGCCCGCCTTCGCCGCCTTGTTACCCTGGTTCTGGTTCTGGCTCGCAGCAGCGGTGCCGGCAGCGCCTGAAGCAGCGCCGGCGGCGGCAGCGCCTTGCTGCACGACGACGCAGTTTCCGAAGCCCCCGGCGGTGGTGAACGAGACGAGGCACTTGTTCTTCGACGCGCCGCCCGAGCATGCAGCGCCCGCGGGAAGCTGCACGACGAGCTGCTGGGTGCCCGTGCTGGTCGGGTTCTGAATTGACGGTCATGGTAAGTTTGTGCGTCACGGAGATTGTACGGCTCAAACCAACCTGGTCGCCGTTCTGTAGGACGTCTGCGGAGACGAAGGACTTGCCCGTGCCTGTCACGTCGACGAGTGCAGTGACTTGCCGAGACCCGTCAACTCCTCTAGAGTCGCTCGTGAAATCGCGTCTCCGTGCGGGTAATGGGAGGCACTCACGCATTGAAGTTGAGGATGCTCGCGGCGAACGTGCCGTTCCCGGCCGCCTGGATCGCCTGAGACGAATCGATGGTTTGCGCGAC